CTGGCAGGGAAATCCTACTGTGGAGTGGGAATTGGGGTGGACATGGAGATATAATTTGGGAGAATAATATTCTTTGACAAATCCCAACTTTATCTTGTTCAGTCCTCTCTCAGCTTGCCCACTGCTTCCCCTCCATCTTCATGTAGCTATCTGCAGTGTCTCGGGGAGAAGACACTTCCATATAGACAGCTGAGATGCCTTTCTGAGCCAGAGTGTGGCTTCATGCGTGAATGGTCGGTTGGTGAGCACATCTCACACAATCAAGTTCTTTTTTGTTTACCAAAATAATAAAAGCAGGATGATACTACAGGTTGGACCAGCCTATTCTGGCATCCACGGCACCTGAGTAGTCCCAAAGGAGGGAGTTTGCTGGACCAGAGGAGGTCAGGCCTTGGGCTTTCCCAGGTCTCCTCTTCTGGCCATTGGCCCAGCCAGTGCACTGCCCCAGTCACTAGCAGGGCTCCATTCCCCTAGCTAGCGGTGGTTCCACACTCCCGCCTGGCAGAGGCTTCCCTGCCTCCCAGCCAACAGGGGTTCTCACCAGGCCCTGCTCTGGCTGCCAGCCAGGCCAGGCTCCATGCATCCAAGCCACTGGACTTCCCGGCTCCAGGCTGTGGTCCTGCCGGATGTCACCAGACCAGACTGTTCCGGATCACAGAGGTTCAACCTGTAATGTGATGTGGCTGGATTTTTTGGAGGGGTGGAGCTTCGATGACAATATGTCAAGTAAGTAATACACTGTAGATTCTCTTACTGAATAAGAACAACTAACTGACTAGTGGTTTCATGCAGTTTCAACTCAGCACTTGATCTCTGGGTGCTTTAGTTGGTTCATAATTTTTCAATAAATGGATATATTTCACTTTTAAGCATATTTTACTTCTCTAGGCCCAACCCTGCAATTGAGGAAAACACAGGTACTAATGAAAAAGTTAAAAATAATAGAATACAATTTGCCAATTGAAATTTAAGGTGAATATCAGACAAAATATTGGGCAAAATGAAACACCTGAACATATGGCAATATAAGGCAGAATAGATGATCAGACACATCTTTTACATTTATCACTTTTATGATTCAATGAACTTAAATATGTGCTTTGTACTTACTTAAGCACAGTCTGAAAGACTATGCAGAAATGAACCAATTGTTCAATAGCACTTTGAAGACCATTAGAACAAACCATGTATTCCTACAACATGCACATTTGCCAATACAATATATTAGAGAACTGTTCAACCACTCTCCTGTCATAACCAAAATGAGAATTCAAACTGTGAAGAAGAAGAGGTGAATACAAGACAATCTGAGGTGAGGCAAGGAAAACAAAATGAGCCTTTGTCCCATAGGCAAGATATGTGTTAGGAAATTTTGATCCAGTGATGTGAAAGGCATTCAGTCTGACAGTTTGTTTCAGAACAGATGGGTGCTATGGCATGACAACCCCATTCTGATCACTGGTTGGACTCATGATTCATTAATAGATTCACTGTCTTTTTGTCCTGTATTTGTATAGTCCTGAACCTAATGATCCATGGCTAGAGATTGTAGATGCTACAATCATACAGATAATAAACAATTCTAATATAATAACAATTAAATACTTAAAGAAGTAAATGTGTGTGTACAAAAATGGAGATTGAACTGAATACATTCTTGCATTTGGCTAAGAAAAAAATCATGTAGAATTGGCAACCAAGATGTATCCTTGAAATATTTGATTAATAACCATCTACACACTATCTACATACATTCAAAGTTTAATTGGGCATAATCTAAAATAATACATATCTATTCATCCCATTGTTGCTAATCAATACTTTGAATGTTTAATATCCAACTCCTTATACAGGTGTTTTAAGCAGTGTTTGTGTCAAAAATATAACTGTCTTCTTAAAGAACTTTTTTTTTTTTTTTACAAGTGAACAGTTGCTTTGGGTCTTACTGTTAATTAAATGCTGAATGTGACCATCTGTCATTGTAATATGTGAATTCTCAGGAAGGAAAATAAAAACCAAGGCTGCAGTGCTAAAAATGATTGTTTATTAGGACAAGATTGTGACCTGGCTAGTCACAAGACTGTGACCTGCCTAGGGGAATGAGGGTTGCAATATGTGTCATGGATACTATAAGGACAGAGAGAGAGAGAGAGACTGTGGGAGAGAGAGAGAACAGCACCAAGGAGATGTAGCTTTGATTTGCCTTTGTCTCCCTGCCTCCACCAGATGTACCGGCCAGTGTGGTTGAGCAGTGCACTAGTGGAAATAATTTGCACTAGCTATAATACTGGGGGGACAGCAAGATATTATTTCCAAGCAGAACAAGAAGGAAGTCAAAGTATAAAGATTCACAATCTGTTACTGGGGCAGAGTAACTACTTGGTGCCCTTTGCACTCGGCTTTTGCTAAAAATCACAATTTAGTCCTGAGTTGAAAGAGGAAAAAAAACTATTACATCTGGAGATCAAGTTTTAACAACTAAAATCACACAACAGTGTATCAGTATCCTATGAACTTTGGAGAAAACATTTATGTTTGAAATCCATGACTGAGGCCCAGATCTAAAATATACACTTCATTACTATTTTTGTAAAGAAACAAATTTCAATGTGATTAATTCAATTGTCTTCAAAAGAAATGCTGTACTTTAGAAAAGAGGAATCCTTACCCTTAACCTTCTCTCAAATGCTGAGATATTGCCTTTGGTCTGCTCTTTCCTTTGCCTCCATTCTATGAGGTTTGAATTATGCTCTCCAGGTAATGAGATATTGCACTTTCCCAAAGTGGGGTTGACGACACCTGCTAGAATATGGGGCTCTGTGTTGAGAGTGATTTCCATTCCACTGGCAAAGGTGACCCTCAGTGAACCATCCGGGCTGACCCGATAGATATTCTGCGTGTTGTCTGTCAATAGAACAAGAAGGGAAAAATTGTGTTCTCCAGCTTTATTAAACAAATGTTAGATATGCAAGGGTTATATTTGTCCATGGTTTATAGGCAGCTGTATATATATATCAACTTCTGTGTACGTTTGTAACCTTCAGACATGTAAACAAATTTTCAGTAGATTTGGGCCTTATTATTTTCATATTGTAGGCATCCTACATCTAGAACAAAGGCTGCCTGCCGTCACACCGCAGGTTTAAAAAAAATGAATTTACCAGGTTGGGTTTTTGGCCACCTGATATTATGCTGATTAGTCTGTTGATATCAATATGCCGCTAATATAGGAAAGCATAACTCTTAAATGAACTTAGAGAACTGAGGTTGAGTCTGACAGCTATATTTTTCAACTATCTAGCATAAGGTTTTCTCCTCCAACCCTGTCCTCTTTATGTCATATGAAAGGGCTGGTTGTGGGAAGGCCCTTTAAATTGCCCCTGGAGTGCCCCATGGAGGCGGGGAAAGGGGTGGGGGCATGTCTTGCTATGGTGGTGCTCAGGACTGCCTGGGAGCCAACTTGGTGCACTCCTAGCAGCCTGAGAACTGGCTGCCCTGGTTGCGCCCCTTCTGCCCAAAGCCTGAGGCTTTCCAGGAGCACAGAGGTAGCCCTCTCATCTTGCCCTGGGTCCTGCAGAGGCTGTCAGCTCCCCTGTAAGGCTGCTTTATGAGGACCCCCTCCACAATCCCTGGCATAGGGAGCATGTCAGAGGTGCAGCTGGTGGCAGGAAGGTGTATGTCAGTGGTGAGACAAGAACATGAAATGCCGCAGACCATAGGGAAAATGTTAGAAGCTGCCACAAGTTTAGATAGGATTCAAGTATAATCTAAGGCTTCAGAGCATTCCAGGACTGGGACAGTGCTAAGGTGGTTGAAAGCCACTGTGATATGGCACTTCATATTCTTTTATGGAAATATGATTATTAATATGACCAGGGCTTGCTGAACCAGCCCCGCTGTCGAACCAGCCCTGCTCGCCAGCCGTGCTGTCCGGCGATCTACACATGTGCAGATCATTCTGCGCATGTGCAGATCGCCTGAACCCAGCTCTTCTGGGTTACAATCTACTCGTCCATGGCGAGTAGATTGTATTATTTGTTGAACCCTGCATATGACTATGGAATAACTAGAGAATACTTTATGAAAAATGCAAGGACAGCATTTAAGTCACCTGATATGGGAGCCCATCATCAGTTTAGTATTTTACCACCAGGAGGGGGATGCTTGCCAACAAACAAAGCCTTCCTACCTTCTGGACAACCTATTTAAGGGGAGAGCCCAAGAGGAGAGGCGGGACTGCCAGTCCTGAGAACAACCTGATTACCATCTAAGATATCTGTTGGAAACAACTGATAATGAACATCAAGAAGCACTGGGCCCAGATGAGTCTTGTTCCAGTCTGAGAACAAAGATGATTACAACTACTGTTGGGGTATGGTGTTACATGTAACAAGTTTCTCAGCTGGAGAGATTTGGATTATTTTGCTTAGTAACTTGCTTTATTCTGTGTACTATTAGTTATAACCACTTAAACCTTACTTTTAATACTTAATAAAATCATTTTTGTTTATTAATAAACCCAGTGTAAATAACTGTGTGTGGAGGGAGGGGGGAAGCAGCTGTGCATATCTCTCTTTATGTAAGAAAGAGGGTAGATAACATGAGCTTACCCTGTATACAATTTTATACAGAGTAAGAAGGATTTTTCTGGGGCTCAGGTCCCATTGGCACTGTACACCTGGGCGCTGGGGTAAATCCCTTTAACTGAACCTTTCCAGAGCTGAACTGAATTCACTGCCTGTATTACACTGCATCGGGCTCTGACCCCATCCTAGTGTCAGTGCTGGAGGGCTTGGCTCAGCAAGACAGATAAAAAGGGGGTGCCCAGGAAGGCAGGAAGGTTGGCTCATGGTATTTCAGCACATCAAGTGACAGTCAGAAAGGGATCTCTGTTGACTGAATCCATCACTGCCACTTTAAGTCTTCCTTCCTCAGGCTGTGAGTTCTATGCTGCACCCCTCAGGGAATTTGTACCTTGCACCTGGAAGGTGTAATTTCCAGCTTGACATACACACAGTAGCCTTTATTGAGCTTGTGCACTAAAAATAGTGTAGCAGTAATAGCTTGAGCCAAGACAGAGGCTAGCCACTTGAGTATAGACCTTGGGTCTAGGATGGGATCATATTCAGGTTGCTAGCCCCATGCACTTGTAATGGCTACACTTTTATTTTTAGATTGCTAGTTTGATCACCTCCCACCGCCCCTAAAAAGCCTACTACCACCAAACAAGAATCAAACCTATTAGTAGACTGACCATTTTTACAGTGTCAATCTGGCAAGTCAATCTTTTGTGTGGTATTGCTTAGAATGACAAAAGTAAGCGCTTTACAGGCAATTTTTACCACTTTGATATTACAATGAGAAGTCCTGTGGCAGCTTAGAGACTAATACTAAATGCATTTTCCCATAAACTCTAGAGGTAGTAGAGGTTTAAAAAAAAGAATCTACCCATGGACCCCTGAATATACCCATAATTGGAAGTACACCCACCAATGATCCATTTCAAGCAGTTACCTTGGTAGTATAATTAAAAAAGAACTAGCAATTTGTATTGAAGTTAGGAGGAAACAATCAAAGCAAGGTGACTAGAAGGCAAACAGATGAAAGTGCAAGTGACTAAAGTTTCAAATTAAATAATTATGGTGAAATAAACAGATATGTGTTAATTACCTTGTTTTAAAGTGTATATAGTAGAGGTAGCTGAGAAGTTTGTAGCTGTAATCACATTTTCTCTGTTTGATGATTCAAGTTCTACTCTTGTTAGTTTTTCAACATCATTGTGGAAATTGCTGACCTCACCAGTTGGAAAGGTTACATTCGTTAGGTGTCCTTCAAGGTCATACCTGAGAAAGAAGGGGATTCAAATGTTTACTTTGGAGAAGGTCAATATAAATTTGTATGGGCTCCTAAAAGCAAATATGGGGGCAAGTTTAAATAATGTTGATTACCAACACTGCACCATAAATAAAAAGATATATTGTTGACTTGAATTAATTATTAAATGTTGTGTAAATTCTTCTACTTTTGAATTCTTTACCCCAGATTTGACCTATTTTTAGTACTGTTGGATAAAATATAATTGGTAATAGGTCACTTCAGTATAAAAACCCCACTGTCTGAATTACCTATATCATGTTAAGCTGCATTATGTACAATCCCTGGTGATTTAAACTTACCTTGGTGTGATACAGGAAAGATACCACTAGAGGTCACCCTGCATACAGATAACAAGCCATTTTCCACTATTTGAATAAAAATCGTAGTTCTTAAATACAGCAAAATTCAAACAACATTTTGTTGCTCGAGATAAAATATTTAATATGGATGATGATTTAATTTTATGAAGCTAGCTACACGCAAATGCATAGGATCTAATTTGTAATGGAAATGTTGCCTACTTTGGTACTGACTACTATGAGTGTTTCTCATAAGATTACTCATGTAAGAACTACAGAATGCAACAGTAATTGGACCTAGACTGGCCCTGCCCTGGCCAAAGTTTTCACATTATCAAATTTGCTGAGCCCGTTGGTTTGTTTGATCAGTGCCATAATCCACTAGGTCAATTCTAGCAGTTTGGTTTTTAAAAGGAAAATATTCTCAGTGTTCTGTCTCTGGGTATCATTTTAACTGCTGGATTTATGTGCAAGCTAAGAAAGATACAGTTTAGGGCCTCAGATTATGAGGGGCCTCTAAATACAAAAAAATTAGTAGTTTTTAGTTGTATCCTTGCCTCTCTACCAGTATATATGTAAATATAAAACTTTATTATTTCTATTTCCATTGTCCTTTCTGTTAGAATAATGCTCTTTTTTATAATTCTGTGGGGGCCTCTTAAACTTGACATAAATTAGGGCTGTGGTGTCCAACAAGGTCTGAAGCAGTAGCCACTATAGTGATAGTGAACTAGCACCATTATTCTGAAAATGTAAATAATTTTGTGAGACTCTTCAAACATGCCAATTCTTGCCTTTTAATGTTCACAGAGGGTGTGTCTAGACTACATGCCTCCTTCGACGGAGGCATGTAGATTAGCCAGATCGGAAGGGGGAAATGAAGCCGCGATTAAAATAATCGCGGCTTCATTTAAATTTAAATGGCTGCCCCGATCTGCCGATCAGCTGTTTGTCGGCAGATCGGGGCAGTCTGGACGCGATGCGCCGACAAAGAAGCCTTTCTTCATCGGCACAGGTATGCCTCGTGAAACCAGGTTTACCTGTGCCGATGAAGAAAGGCTTCTTTGTCGGCGCATCGCGTCCAGATTCCGATCTGGCTAATCTACATGCCTCCGTCGAAGGAGGCATGTAGTCTAGACACACCCAGAATGCTTCAGCATTGGTTTTAATCAACAGAAATCATAGAATTTCAATAAATGGGATACTTGACAATTTTGTTTCACTGCTAAACCTCTAAACTGCTAAAAGGCAAAAACTTTTCACTGACAACACACCTCAACTCAGCCTCCATATTTTCATCCAGTAACCATGATCAATACTTTGACTTGATGTATGTCATGACAGAAAATGATGCGTCACAAAGTTTCTCAGTACCGAGTGAATTATTCTATTCAGGGAACATTGTGTATTCAAATCAGCTCACATTATGAAAAAGTGAATAATACACAGACCTGGAACAATATCGCAAATGGATTTTCACTTCCACAAATACATTTGTACTCTTTTAACTGAGGTGACATTGTAGACAGTAGAAAGTCTGGTTGTAGGTTCACTCAAGGTCTCTTTCAAAATGATCTTTTTCAAGGCTCTCATGTGATTTTGGGATTTTATTGATATTGCTCCTACTTAAGATAACGTGAGGTTTTTTTCAAAATGAAAACAAATTCATATCTCATCAGTATAAGTTGTTAATAAGTATTTAAGCAGTACTGTTTAGAATTTAAATAGTATATAGCAGGGTTCAGAAACCTTCTGCACGTGGCCCAGCAGAGCAATCCGCTGGCTAGTCTAGAGACATTTTGTTTACATTGACTGTCTGTTTTGTTTACAGTGACCAACCACAGTGGCCAGGATTCACAGTAGCCAGTTCACAGTTCACAGTCAATGGGTGCTGCTGGAATTGGTATGGGCCACGACACTTCCTGCATCTCCTGTTGGCCAGGAACAGTGAACCGCAGCCACTAGGAGTTGCTAGGGATTTTGCCTGTGGACAGTCAATATGTAAACAAAATTTATCACAGCCCACAAGCGGATTATCCTGATGGGCCTCATGCTGAAGGTTGGCAACCCCTACTATACCATAATACTCTTTTGACTTATAATCATCAGCTTAATGCAGGAGATTGACTACCTTCTCATTCTGAAAAAATTATGCAGAACACCACTCTGTGCTGGCATTGTTACATAATAAGGCCCAAGTCCTAGAATTCTCACAAGTGCACACACAGAAATTACAGGTCTACTTACATGAGAGTTAGGATTAGTCACTTGTGTAAGAGCATGTTTGCCTATATATGAATGGTTAGATTATAGTATTTTAAAGACTTTCTCCTCATATCTACAAAACATTATGAGGCCAGATTTCTGCTAGTGTGACTTGAATGGAGGCATTCCATTTTACAGCAGCAATCTGGCCATGATCTTTGTTTAATGTGATGGCAGTGTTGCTATAGTACAAAAGACTAAATTAGCTAAACAATGTCCACATGGCCCTAGAAGTATTTGTGCACAAAATGAGGGAAGAAGTTTGGATTCCCCATAAAAAGAAAGAAGAGAAAAATAGAGCAGATGTTCTTTTCAGATGAAAACATGTTTCAGGCATAACTGCTGAAACAACTTGCTTTTTTGCCAAATTAAGTCATCAAAGGCTAGAAATATTACAGTTCTCTCTCTGGCTCTCTACTACACTCATCTACATTATGAACACTTATTTACATTCCATCCCCCTTACTGATTGTATGGAAATTGACCAGCTTCCACAGCTGTTGGTTAACCTGACTAATTCATATCACTATTGTTCATCATTAGAAAACTATCCATGAAAGCTGGTTAATCATATTTCATTTCCTGCCTTACGGAACAGATGTGAGAGGCTAGCTGGAACATTCAGATTGCCTATTCCTTATTGCCCCTTTATTGGAACTAATTTAAGAATATAATTCAAGGTCTGATTCTACCACCCTAATGATGACATAGAATGAGATACTTTCAATTTAGTGGGTCCAATGTAGATGCCCAAATTGAACACTAAGGGCAGCTCATGCCAGCGTCCTGTATTCCTCATTCTGAGAGGCGTAAGTGAAGCCGATGGAAGCATTTGCTCCTGTTGGCTTCCCATAGCGTAGAGGCTGGGGTGGCTTGGCTTAAAGTAAGCTGAATCCAACTACACATTTTGTGTAGCTGGATGGCATGCCTTAAGCTGATCTGCCTGGTCTAGTTTAGACCTAGGCTAATAGTGGTAGGGCCAGGACCTATTGATGTTAATTTAGGGCTTAGTTAACATAGCCCTCACTCATGTCAGTGACCATTTAATTGGCAAGTAATCCCACTGATTTCAGTGGCACTACTCAAATGAGGAAGTGCTCCACTAATGAATGAAATGCTCAATGTGGCATGTACATCCGCAGCTCATTTTCATTTCTATATATTATATATAGTTAAGGATAAGAATGATTTCAAATAGTAACTGCTGTATTTTTTTAAAGGCAAACTTTTGAGAGGTGTTTTTCTTCTCCTCATTTTTAACTGAGGCTCCTAACAAAAATCTTTCTCCTTTCATGGCTTTAATGATTCAATATTAAAAAAAAAGATGACTGAAAATTGTACATTAGCTGCAATTTTATGCAAGCATTGTCTCAGCACTTCCATTTAATCAGATAATAGTAGATAGGTGACAAGTGCTTTTGTAGGTGGTTTTCCTCCCTCTTAATAATTTAGAGAGGGAAACTGACATGCAGGTAGGTGTTCTGAACTACTCATTATCTTTGCTCGAATTCCAATGTATGTATAATACATGTTGTTAAACAAACTCATCCCTATTTCAGATTGACAGTGTCATGGTTTGAACTTTTAGATTTGAATGCAAATCTGGTTTAAAAAGAAAAAATGATTCCAAGCAATTTCGTTTGGAAGTTGTTTATATATTAATTCTCTCAGCCCCAACCCTATTGTTTATGCAGGATTGAGCAGCAAATCAGATACATCTAACCTCTTCAAAACATCTAATTTTCAAAGTGAAAATCAAGGTGGTTGAGAAAGACTGTCTGGTTAAACATTGAGCAGGGACTATCTTACCTTGCAAACACCTCAGAGTAAAAAGGCTCACTCCATTCTGAAAACCTGTGCTTTTAACCATAGTTCTAATTACCGTGTGTTGTCCCACTATCTGTAAATGTGTGGGTTATTTAATCTTTCATGGGATTATTCACAGTAGGAATAATTATGTGTTTGGGCTCTAATGTAAACACCATGGAAGTTACAAGTAGTCATTAAAATCAATGGGATTTTTTCACAGTTTTACTGTTACTCCTGGCCAAAAGGGTTTGTAGGATACTACCCTAATACTATACCCTCATGGAAAACACCAATCATAAGTGGTATAATGCTTCACCCGGACATATACAATTATTGCAAATGTATCATTCATAGAAACATTAATCATATTTAGAAGGGTGATCTAAAATATTTGAGAAATATATTTCTTTATTGGATTTTTTTATATTTTTAATCTTCTTATTTTGTAATAGAATAAGTAAATTCTACTGAATGATCTTTGAGAATTAACTAGCTTCTTTCAGAATAAGCTTTTCCAGAAGAGATCTTCTAGAAAAGCTTATTTTGAAAGATAGCGTCTACACTGGTTGGACACTATCTCACATTTAAGGCCACCCAGAATCAGTTCAGGCAGGGCATTAAGTCAGCAGTTGCTTCCAGGTACTATTAACCAAGGCTGAGACGCAAGCTTACAGGGACCCCCCTGGACAGCTGCTTCTCAGCTTCTTCTGCTTGCTTGCCTACCTCTCTGAGGGTATGTCTACACTACCACCCTAGTTCGAACTAGGGTGGTTAATGTAGTCAATCGAAGTTGCAGATGAAGCCCGGGATGCTTCATTTGCATCTTGCTGGGCGCCGCCATTTTTAAATCCCCAGTAGTTCGGACTCCGTGCCCGCGACTACACGCGGCACGGAGTAGGTAGTTTGAATTAGGCTTTCTAATTCGAACTACCGTTACTCCTCATTCCCCATCAGTTGGGGGTATGCATCCGGAAGGCCCTGAGGGAAAGTTTCTCTGAAGGACCCCAGTAACTTTCCCCACGGCCTCCCTAGTAGGGGCCTGTGCCTCTCTGCCTTTCCCAGAACAACCCCATCTCTTCCCCCTTTCCTGTACACTCAATAAAAACAACAGTTTTGTTTTCAAAAAAAGAAGTCTCTGTTGTGCTAAAGATAACTAGGAAGGAGAGAGGGGCTAAGAACTTGAATATGGGAGGAAGGATGGGGGGGCTGAGAACCTGGATATGGGGAGGGGGGTGAGTACCTTGAAGCGGGGAGGGGAGGCTCAGAGCTGGGGCTGAGACTGGCAACCACCCTAGTTCGAACTAGGGTGGTTAATGTAGTCAATCGAAGTTGCAGATGAAGCCCGGGATGCTTCATTTGCATCTTGCTGGGCGCCGCCATTTTTAAATCCCCAGTAGTTCGGACTCCGTGCCCGCGACTACACGCGGCACGGAGTAGGTAGTTTGAATTAGGCTTTCTAATTCGAACTACCGTTACTCCTCATTCCCCATCAGTTGGGGGTATGCATCCGGAAGGCCCTGAGGGAAAGTTTCTCTGAAGGACCCCAGTAACTTTCCCCACGGCCTCCCTAGTAGGGGCCTGTGCCTCTCTGCCTTTCCCAGAACAACCCCATCTCTTCCCCCTTTCCTGTACACTCAATAAAAACAACAGTTTTGTTTTCAAAAAAAGAAGTCTCTGTTGTGCTAAAGATAACTAGGAAGGAGAGAGGGGCTAAGAACTTGAATATGGGAGGAAGGATGGGGGGGCTGAGAACCTGGATATGGGGAGGGGGGTGAGTACCTTGAAGCGGGGAGGGGAGGCTCAGAGCTGGGGCTGAGACTGGCATGTGGTTCGGGTGGAAGTTCCACCTCGTGTCCTGGGACCTCAGTGACCTTGGGTGTGGGGGGTTCCTGGGAGAACAGGGGGATAGGCAGTAGGAGAGGCTGAAGTGGGGTCAGGAATGGCAGGGGGCAAGGGCTGGCATGGGAGGGGACAGGGGCTGGCATGGGAAGGGGGGCAGAGACAGGAGCTGGATAGGCCATCATCTCCCAGTTGGTAGCACACATGTTGCGACCCTGCTGCAGCAGCTCAGTCCACGTCTGGGCTCGCCATTGTGCGTTGTCCCAAATCTTTTGGACCATGTCCCTTCATGGACCCTCTGGTGCCTGTGGCTCCTCCGGGGTCAGGTGGCTGGCTCAGCTGGAGGTGATCGCCCCACAGTTATGGCTGGTCTGGTTGGGGAGAATAAAGAAAGGTGGTCAGTCATCCTTGGAGACACTGTCCCTGAGGCTTTGCCCTCATCAGCAAGCTGAGATCAACAGTCTTCGGCCTACAGGATGGTGATGCCCTGGGAGCAAGGCCATGTGTGGCCTGGACAGTGGGCCCTGCCTCACAGGGACCCAGAGTACCATACTTCCCCTCCCACCACATACACACTCCATCCCACAGACAAGCAGGCAAGGGAAGTGTCCGGACACTCTGGGATTCAATGGTCGGGAGAGGGACCTCGAGCAGCCTAAGATTCCATCGGGGCCACACACAAACCTGCACCTGGCAGCACCGTCCCCGGGAGCGGGTGGTGCTTCGAGTGTGCAGGCATGCCTGTGTGTCGTGTGTGGCACTCCAGTGCCTCTGTACAGACCTGTGTGTGCCCTTGTCCCCAGCCTCCTTCCAGCAGTGGCTAGTGGTGGGAGGGCGTCCCCTGGGGTGAGAAGTGTGTCTGGACTTCCCAGAGTCTGTAAGCAGGAGCCCGGGGGTGTCTCTTGGGGCTGCGTGGTGCAGACCGGGGCTGCACATACATCCACATGCATGGACTGCAGTGCAAAGGCCAGGCCGAGAATGTCTAACGATTATTGCATCATAGCCCCTCAGTGCCCACCACCCCCATCCTATGCATAGGAAAACTAAGAGCACTCACCTGCTGATCACTCCCTGGCCTCAGAGGATGCCTGGGAGACATCCAGGCTCTGAGGCACCAGCTCCAGGGTGATGGTGCTGGCCATTTCTTCCTCTTCCTCCAACTCCTTATTCTCCTCCTTCTCCACCTGGGATGGGAACTCCGGACGGGCAATGACAGATGTCTCCAGCCCCGAGTCCAGGATGCAGTGAAGTTCATTGTAGTAGGGGCAGGAGTGGGGTCCCACGCTGGAGTGAAAGCTGTGTTCCTCGGCCCTGGCATAGCCCTGCCGGAGCACTTTTACTTTACTCTGGACTTGCTCCAGAGGGAGGTGGTGGCCCCCTGTAGCCAGGTTCTCGGCCATCCAGCCATAAAGGTCCACATTGCACCATCTGGAGTGGAGATCCTGGAGGGTCTCCTCCTCGCTCCACGCCTCCAAGAACAACCAGGCTCTCTGCCCCAGACCAGGACTGAGCACACCTTTTCCTGCCCCAGCAGGTTCCTGGGAACCCTGTGCATGCTCCCTAGGAGGGCCAGTGGGCTCTTGGGGGGCTTGTGGCTTGGACATTGGTGCCCCGATGTATGGCAGTGGTATTTGTGCGGTGAGTTGCAGCTCCCAGGGCCGGCTTCCTGCCACAAGCCCTGTCCCGGGTGTTTGCAGCTTTAAGAATTGCTGCGTGACAGGAACTATAGAATTGTGATGGGTGCGGATGGAGTGGCCAGCAGGGCACCTGTGTTATTTTCTGGAGGCCTCTTTTTTCAAAATAACTCCCTCTTCTGCGTCCACGCAGGCCTTTTTCTGAAAAAGCTTTATCCTTGTAGAATGAGCTTTACCACTGTCAGAAAAAGCCCTCTGTTATTTTGACTTTTTGTCGAAATAACGCTATTGAAATGTGGACACAAGTATTGTTTTTCTGGAATAACAGCCATTATTCTGGAAAAACATTGCAGTATAGATGTACCCTGAGAGAACAACAGAATCCCTTTTCTTCCCCTTTTTCGCTACAGTGAAATCACATTCCAGTACTGTACAGGTTTAAAAAGGAAGTGAAATGCAGCATCAGAATACCAAATGCTAGCAGCTGGAAGAAATGGAGTATACTCTTTGTAATACAAAGCATGGGTGATGACAGTAAGTTATATCAGCTGGATTGAAATAATCAAAGTGTGAAGAAATGTTTAATTTAGCAAAACTTCTTAATGCTAGTCATACATGAAATACACATTTAACATGCACGCTTTTGAATTTGTTGTCAGACAACATATTCCATTGGTCCTGCCTAGAGCAGGGGGCTGGACTTGATGACCTTCTGAGGTCTCTTCCAGTTCCATGATTCTATGATTCTATGAAGACACAGGCATCTCCAAGTAAAGAAGTTTGTCCTACAACCAAAAGGGAGCACTTATGAGACTTATGAGAAGACTGAGCTCTTCAAAAATAACGTTACTATAAAGCTTGAGTTACATTTGAACAAATGACTTGCCAGAGAGCAACGAACTCCAGCAATAATTCCATTAAAGCATTTTGAACTAAATGTCCTGTATACATTTCAGTGGGATGGAGTAAAAATAGCAAATGAAACCTGTCAAGAAAAACATACTTGAAAATGATCTGTTCTTGGGAAGTTATCAGCTATTCAAATGAAAGACAAAGCCTTGTTAATTATTTTAAGAAGTAACAGACAGGACTAGGAACTATTATGAAATCTTTTTGAAAAAGTGATTGACCAGTATCTTACAGCCAGATTCCATGATACTAGGCTGTGTTTACATTGGCAAGATTTTGCGCAAAAGCGACCACTTTTGCACAAAATCTTGTCTCCTGTCTACACTGGCCGCGAGTATTTGCGCAAGAACACTGACGTTGTAATGTACAAAATCAGTGCTTCTTGCGCAAATACTCTGACTCTCCTGCTCAGGGATAAGTCTTCTTGTGCAAGAGGCCAATGTAGACAGGTAACATCAATTTCTTGCGCAAGAAAGCCCGACTAGTTGATTGCCTGATAAGCCTAGGCTTATCAGGTAGTCGAGTACCTATCTGACTAGTCGCTTCCCCTCCTTGCTGCCTCTATAGGGAAGGCAGGAACCGGTTCCCCCAGCATCATCTCCGCAGGGCGGCAGGGGAGGCAGAGGTGGGTGGGGAAATGGTACGAGCCGGGACTGAGCTCGTGCCAGGTCCCACACACTGTAGCTATGCTTTTTTAAATGTAATAAGAGCTGCCAGGTATAATTTCAAGTACTATTTTGTAATACTTACTGTATACAGCAGGCTTTGACACTTTAGTATTAATAGTGCTGTATTGTATAAGCTTTGCAACAGCTCTACTTGTCTTGTATTGTGCCATGTTATTAGCAGGTTATCTTTTAAATTACTACAATTGGCTTGAAAAAATTCAATTTTCGTTCCAAATAACATGCTTTATGAGACTTCAGAGCAAAGAAAAAAATGTTTGAAGTTAGGAACTTACTCATAAACTGTTGTCCATCCATTCTCATTACTTTTGGTTGCTAGAAGACCTGTGTTGCCAGGGTATGTCATCAGTGCTAAGTTGTAGCCTTGAGCATATACTCTTTTCAGAACACCATTGCTGCTTATGGTTAGCCAGTATACCTGGCCTCCAGGCACCACTAGCCACAGAGGCAATCCACTAGCATCTCTGCGAATGTGAACTGAATTCCCATTGCTGTTAGTGATGGTGGCAATGTCTCCTTCTCCATTGTATGTGAAATTGTAAATATAGTCCCTTGTTATCAGATTCAGTGTGTGAAGGTGGGTCCCATTGGTGGTAAACTGATACAGTTCCTGGTCTGCTGGGGATGCAATCTCATAAATATTCATGTCACTGAGATGAGCCTTGTTTCGACTGACTGCACGGATGCGAATATTGCCAAGATCTGCTATATACAGGGTGTCATCAGGAGAGACTGCTAGCGAAGAGGGTGCTTTCAGCTTTGCATCTTTGGCATACCCACCATCACCTGGAAAAGATATATTATCACTTTAGGAAGCTGTAATCTCTCTGTTTACCCTATCACAATGTGAGACACCACACACGGCCTCCAGAATCTTTTATAAGAGTTAGTGAACCATTTTTTCCCAATGAATTTAAAACCTATTTTCTAAAATGGTGTAATTCTGAATCAGCGTCACTGAAGATTAACAATAAGATGCAATTATCTCAGTTACACCAATTTTGCTAAATCCAAACTCCTGCTGCTGGGAAAACTATTACATTGTAAGATACAAAAGCACTAAATAATGACAGCTGAAGAGCCTCTTCTTACTTCTTTCCCACTGTCATATAGTCAAAGAACAATAATTCCATAAATAATATATCAATTCATTAAATAAATAGGAGTGATTTGGATGCAAGTGGAGATTAGTTTATATTAATAAAACCTCAACCCAACAGCCAGCATGTAATAAACTACAGTGTAGAAAAAATGAGAAATATCAACAAAAACTCAAGATAATTTTTGTGGCCAGCTAAACTGAAAGGTTCAAAGAGGGAATTTTGGTGATCCTGGGCTCCATTTACCTCCACTAGTGCAATCAGACCTCTTTGCAAGAGTGGGAGCTTCTGCAAGTTGATAGGAAGGAGGTTCATCTGCTAGAGACGGGCAAATAGTATTTACATTATGTCACTATCTAGAAGTTGCCACTAAGGAGGAGAGTTTTAAGTTGTATTTGTAGCTTCAAAAAAATCTCACTGTTGTGGAAATGCATTGAGTTGGCATGCTGTTTAGCCATACTGGCCATGCCCCCTTCAGTCAGCATTGACAACTGTCAGAACTGGACAGTACTTCATGGCACATCTATTCCTCCAGACTTTTCAGCTGGGGGCACTACACCCTAAGGAATGCTAATAGAATCTTTGTTGTTGAATATGATCACACTGAGCAGAGTCTTTTGAGGTCAATCTCATATATTTGAACCTGGTCTCTCTTAGAGGTGTTTTCATTACTACTGCAGTGTGACATGTCAGTGAACCAAATCTTTTGGACCAGTTGTTTGATTTTATACTCTCTTCATATCAGATGCAAACAGTGCTTTTTGGTCATTAATGATCCCAGGGCCCTAAGGAGGGGTGTTGATTCCAATGCCCTGGCCAAATTCCAATCTGTGCAATTACAGCCAGCCTATTGACAATTCCTCTCTGTAGTACTGTAATTAGATTCAGTAACTCTGCTTTCTTATCTAAAATGTTGTGCTATGTTGCTATGCACCGTTAAACTGCTACCATGTTTCCTTCCAGAGATGACTGCATAGGGGTGGCGGAGAAAGACTGTCAAATAAATTATGGCATTCTCTACTCCCAGAACATTTATGAAGGAGGTAGTAATAATTTGGCTCCCATCACACTGTTGTGTGAAGGAGGGAGTAGCTTGCATTGCCAGAAGTGTTGACTGGCACACATAGTATATGTTGTACCAGAGGGGTGCTGACTACACCACTTAAAATGCGCAGCAAGAGGCACCATTTGAACATTTCCCATGGTTCAGGCTTAGAGGAGGCATAAAATAGGATTTTACATTCTATGTGAAGCAGTTTGGGACGCTGGATAAAAAGGGCTATGTGGAATTCAAGTAATTAGCATTGAAAGGTAAATTCCAAGTCCTGAGGGAGAATGGCGATATCTGAAAATGGGTAGGCAAAACTGAAATATAAGGTAGGCTCAGAGTTAATTCAGATTTGTGTGTAAATTAATTCAAAAAGATTTGCAAAGTTATTATAGATCTGTTCAAGTTTTCTTAAGGAAAAAGGACCATTTTACAATTTTTTTTTCTTGCAGACTCTTTAACTCAAACAAAGACTATGGGCTCTGAACAAAATAGAGAAGGGAAATGATTAGCCTCTGCTCACCTGAGAAACAGTCACAGTTTGGATCAATCTTGCAGTCACAATCTGTTGGGGCTCCAGCAATTATGGAAATCTCACCATTGGTAGTAACCTGTTGTATGCGATTTATCTTTCTTTCATCTGTCTCAGCAATGTACAGTGTCCCACTGTGAGAGACACTGATTGCTCTAGCTGATTCCAGGGTTGAATGGATTGCCACCTTGCTGACTAAGAAATGATCCATGCCTGGTACCTGGCAGTGAATAGGGCGTCCCGCAATAATTCGCACACGCCTAGTCTCAGAAATCTGCAGTACAATGTTATTGTCCAGTACATACAATGAGTTGTCTATCGGGTTGACTGCAAGGTCTGTTGGCCACTCTAACCGCACCTGAAAAAAGGAGACTAGATTGAGTAACTGATTTCCCTCCTGCCCCAAAAGCACTTTATGCAGAAGTCTCAGGATAGATGAAAAAAAGAAAAGAAAAATAAATGAAAAGAAAGAAAACAAATTGTCAATGTTTTCTGCAATATGATTGAGTGGCTAAACTTTATCCAGTTTTCTTACAACATTCATTGTTATTAACTCATGTGGTAGATAACTCTCACACAACCTTTAACTGCTGCCTTTTAAAGAGAGAAAAAAAGTGATGGCTACATCTCAAAATATTATTAGGTATATATGCCACTCAGATAACTAAAAGGGGACCCATTTATATACATGCTTTTAAATTGTGCTCAGCATGAAGGAATCTAGGCGTCTGGTACTCTTTGGTATTCCATTATATTACAACTTCAAGCATGTTTGTCTGGTTGTTGAAAAAGTTTCTGCAAAGCATTTTCAAATGGTTGGATCATTTCTAGTATCAATATGGAATAAATGCTTATTTACATTTGAACTTAGCAACATTTGAATTTTAAATTTACTACTTGAACAGGTCCATTTAGGTGGGAATATAATAATACATACACATTCATGCAAATAAAATTTCACACAATTCATGTCATGCAACATCAGCCAGAAAATTTTCCAAGTTTGAATGCTATTGTTTCAAGGTTGCAGCGAGCTCTGGCAGAGTTAAAAACTAGCAAGGGACTGTCAATGTTACAACACTAACTGACTAGTCCAAGAGAAAAAACCTACAGAACAGATTATTTTTTCAATGCTTATTTACTAAGAGAGGAATGTTAATAAGCATTATCTACCATTACAACTATTAGCTAGTTAATTTTTTATAACACAATGCAGTATCTAATTAATCATAATTACATAATTGTAATGCTTGTATTTATTTTATGACTACCATATTTCAGTGGTGGATTAAGTAATTTCTCTATTAAGGGTTAATTTTTTGCCCTTTACTATGTGGGAGGGGTAACAATCAATGCAGCAAGATTTTCAACAAAGTACTCAAAATAGTGCTAAAGGCATGACCCCAGTGCTAATGCATCATGACCCCTGTGAATACGGCCTGCCAGCTAGTGGGTATGACCAACATCCTTCACGTTCATCAAGCTCACATGCTGCTGTCTGCCACCTTAGTAGGGGCTGCATTCTGCTATTTTCCAAAGAACAGAGCAGCATGTCCCCTACTGTGGCTGATCCCAGGAATCGTGGCCTTTTCAGCATGCTTTTAGAAGCTGCACTCCTGCTCCCAATGCTGACCTGGAGAGAATCTGAACCATAGTTTCTTTATTGAAGGGTCAAATAACAAAAAAGCCACAAAGCTTAAAATTACAGCCTGTTTTTGACTATTGGTGTTTCTGAGAAAAGAAGAGATTTCATCTGAAAGGAGACTTTCCAAGTTAAATATTTAAAACATAGTAAGTAAGTAAATAAATCAATAAACTATAACATTTTCCATACAAAAGATTGTGGCAATTATATGTTTTTGCTGCTGCTGCTATTGTGGTTCATTTTTTCACTGTGCTAATTAAACTGCTATGAATTCAGAGGTTGCAGATGCGAGCATTAAGAATCAGCATTAAGGAATGACAGATGGTGAAGAGTATGGCTATCCCAGGATACCTGCTAGTCTGAGATCTGCTGAGGCATGAGGCTGAAGGTAAAGTCTGTTCAGTTACTCAAGATTCAATTTTTCCTGAATAAGCTCATTCCAAGAAATATGCTAATGCTGGTTTGATAATTGATATTTTAGTAAAGTGTGATAGAGAGAGCAATGTGGCTAATATGTCTTGTCCTTTGTGGTTATACTGGCTACACCACAGAATTAGGTAAGCTCACTGAATGATTAGATTCCTTCTGTTACTCAGTCTATTTTACCAGATAGCATAACAACTGTCATTAAGAGTGATGTTGCTGGGTTCAAGATTTCTACTGCAGCAGGTGGCTGAGTCATTCTAAATGCCGACAAATGTGGTGCAACCATTGGAAAGAGATTTTAGTTATAGAGTAGCTGACTTCATTGTCTTTGTGACTTTCTGCTTTCTACAAGAGGAGTTAGGGTTGGATTTATATATGGCTTCAGCCTTCGATCTGGTTTGCTTTTTTCAAGTGAGGAATCACTGTGAAGTTGAACTATTTAGGAACAGAATACAATGCCTAAAAATATACTTAGAGGACCTGGTAAAATATTACTCACATTGCAGAGATGTTGGACTTATAAAAAGCAAAGAACACATTAAAAGTAGCAGGAAAGACAACTACTTCCCTGACTTCTTTTCAACAGGTCATCCAGGTATTGAGATGATCTATAATAAACCATGGCTATGCCAGATCATGTGCTGACTGTGGAAATCCCAAGCTGAAATTATTATTTACACCATAATCATATTTGTTTTTGCCAGAAAAAGGAGATGCTCCAGCAGAATATTTGCAAAGTCTTGAAGGTGGTTTCATTTTGCAAGTGGACAATTTGGGTGAACCATGTAGCCTTTGCTCAGTGGCTAATCTGAGATTCTCCTATTGTGAGAAAATGTCTGTGACTTTGCAGTCATAATTCAGTGAATTCCAATCTATCAGCTTCTCTGATTTTAGGCTAAGAAGAGGTTTTTATGTGACTGTATTTTTAATATAAGTCAAAGACACCTAAAATCTAGGGAGCCAGATCCCCAGCTGAAATAAAACAGCATAGCTTCATTGACTTCAACAGATGTTTGTTGATTTAGATCATCTGAGGATTTAGCAGATGTGGATGGGAGCTGTTTTGTGTTTATCAAAATAAACAGCTGAAATATTAGTTGGGGAGACCTGTACATTTTTGGTTACAAAGCATCAATATCTATTCTCTGTTACATTTGTGTAAATCTGAAATCTCTGCTGAAGCTAATGGAGTTACTGTAGCATCAACACTGATATATCAGAGCAGAATTTGGCCAAATAAGCTAATAAGATCTTCATTTTTCCTAATATGAACAGGGGAATTCAGATACATCTGAGCAAACACTGCACCATGTTTGTTAGATTTAATATATCTTGAAAATCCACTGGTTATTCTACCTGTTTGTATTCTTTTTCATCGAATCAAATTACCCTCTGGCAGTTCTCCGTGACTAAATAGTTAGGTGGTGTTTTACTAAGTCTAATAAAAAATTACAGAGGACCACACCAATTTTCATTTGATCTAACTGTGCCTCTTAGCTATTAAAAATCTGTTCAGATAAAAAGGCTGTTACCTTTCAAACAATATAACTGAATGAATGTAGCAGTGTGGATTATCCTCAAGTAAATGTAGGCTGATGGGGGTAACGGCTAAGGTCCAGTTCTGCATTCCTCACATTCCCAAATTGTTGGGCAAGAGTCCAGTTTTAATTCATGGGGGATTGACAGTGTTGTGCAATGGAAAGGAATGCAAGGTCAAATGAGAGCTCCAAGAGTGATGCTTCTTGCATATTTATTTTAACATGAAGTTTTCTTGGGACTCTGCGTTGAGATGTCAGCTTCTTGTGTTGTCTCTGCTGTTGCTGAATCAAAGCTTTGTTGGAAGTGCAAAATTTACTACTTTCCTGGCTTTATTTTTAACTCACACGTTTTAGAAAGGAGACATACACTGAAATCATAGATAGGCACATGCAAACTTAATTTTCTCTTTACCACATTTTTTCCTCTGGCTTAATTATATTACATAAAGTAGGTAACACCCACTGAATTCAGTGGCAATTTTTGGTGTATTAATATCACTTTCCTGGTATCGTTAGGGTGTTCTTTGCTTTTGAGCCCTTCACTGTATTTTTTTCTTCAACTAAGTTGGCTACTGCAAAAAGTATTACAACTAAATAAAGTTGGTTGCTAAACATACAAAATAATGTCAATATTTTGTATGTGTTTATAAAGCCACTTGTGCTCTTTATTTAGTTATATCAGAAGAAGAAAGCAACCCATAGACCCTAATGAGGGCACCAAAGATTTAAGTGTTTGGACCAAGGATTTCTTAGTACTGGGGTATATTTAGTTCATCAGTGATTAAGGCAAGTCACATCAAATTCACAGCTAGGATGCACTAGCTATGGCTGGTTGGTATATTTTGAGTCAATTTCATGTAGCAGCATGAAATCCCTGCCAAAAAGATATTTTTCTCATGGTGCAGCATGTTGTATTACTTCATATCTATACTGCTCAACCATGAGAACTTCCATTTATGTTAAATCAGTTGCTTATTCCACTTTGGATATGTATCTTCAAACATGATCATTAACTCCTCCATTTTATTTGTGCTACTAATCTTGTTTATCTCTTTCTATTCAAACGGATCTACTGTTTCAATGGAGGCCAAGTCATATTAATTCAACGGACTGTCCTTTTGTATTCTCTTCCATTTTCTCAGAGCTGACATCTGTATATCTTTTTCATCATTTTTTGACCGTTTACTCTCTTCTAGGATCTTTTCTTTGATGACAGTAACACTGTCAGTTTCTCACAGAAGCCTAGATTTTTTTAATGGAGAAAGAATTTAGCTTACCCCATTCAAAAACTTGAAGGACTCTTCCTTAGGCAAGGCTACATCATCCCTCTACTTATTTCATAAAGTCTTTGGTTCTGGTGCCCCTGCTGTTCCAGGATTATGCAACTCAATTACAGCAGTTATTGCATTTAAAACGTATGCATTCATCATTCCCTTGCATAAAGGCCATGTAAATGAGCTTTGTGTGGGAGAATTAGGCAGGGAATGCAGAATGAAATCTACCTTTGCAACCCATTAGAAGAACAGTCTGGTAGCCTCTAAAGCAGCTGCTAATCCAGTCCATTAGCTGGAATAGCCACAGTGGCACCTTCACATCCCCTTGGTCAGAGTTTTGTGCCCACTACCTCTATGTAAACATAGAACTAACAGTCTCCAGGCCTCCACCCACTCTCCATGCTGACTTATTCATAGTTGAGATGAAACCTACAACTCCAGCACAGAAGGGTACAAAGGATTTGTGCACAGCCATGCACTCTACAGAACCCTTGCACAAAGGTACTATTGGAATTTTAAGGCAGAGGAGGACATGTGAGTGCCCTCCTTCAAGGGAATACATTTCATAACATATGAAGTGTCCATCAAGGGAAATAGAAGGAACCCCTTTTCCCTGTTAGGAAGCAGAACCATAAAACATTCTTTGATATTGGATGAATTAATTTCCTAAATCATAAACTGATAGATGAGACAATTAAAGGGAAGAGGTAACACACATAAATTGTAGTTTTTATGTTTATTGCAAAACAATTTTTATGTTTATATTCATGGATCAAAAGCCTTTTAGAGAGGACACCATTCTCTGTGACATCAACTTTAAATGGCTCAATTAAATGTCTTACCACGGCTTTTATCGCTAAAATAACTAAACACACTTACAACCCCTGCCTTAAGTTCCTCCTCTCTAACTCCATCCTCCAATTTGGTTTCTTCTCCTTTCATTCCACTCAAACTGCTATCACCAACCAAGCCTA